AAGAGCGGGGGACCCTCGTTCATGAGCCTGTGCACGAGCATGAGCGCCTTGAGCGCCACGATCCAGTCGCGCGTCTTGCCGAGACGCTTGGAGACCGCGGTGACGCAGGCGTGGACGTAGCCGCGCGAGTGAGACATGAGATTCAAGATCTCCCTCACGTACTTGTCGCTGGCGGGGTCGTCGTCGTGGCTGGTGGCCTTCACGATGGCCACCTCCATCTCCGGCGCCATGTTGCTGGCCACCTTGGCTATCCCTATGCTCGTCTGGTCCTTCACCACTCCAATCGCCTTCCGGATCGTCGTCGGAGCCATCGCAAACCCCAACCTTATTCACTCCCACACTAACCAAAACCAAAACCAAAACCCTCGCTCGATTAATCTATAAATAAAAAAAAACGCTTGAAATTCAAATTGAAGGGTGGTAAATGATAAATCGTAATTACTTACCTAGATCCGCGCGAAAACGGTTATGGAGGGTGGGATTGGTGCTAGATTATAGGTGCGGGGTGTTGGGAGGATTAACCAATAGGGTAAGGAAGAGTGAAAAGGCGCGAACCCCGTGGATGGGTGTGATGTGCGTTTCAGATCTGTGGGAATGGCGACGAGAGAGAAATTGAGAGTATAATGGAATGGAAAAAGTTGTTGAGGTGTAATACTAACACCTACCGCTCACCGGAACTCTTCTCTTCTGTCTGAAATCTGAATGCTGGGCTGGGATTGGATGTGTCGCGGGTTTATTCTATGCCAATCGCACGCGTACGGCTTACGCTGACGTGGACGCCTTCATACCCACCTTTTTTCTCATCGTTGCTGTTGCGATGTTGACACGTGGAGCTGGATGCTGCGTTCTCTGATTTCATTTTGAATGGCGTCGGTGGGACTGGGAGGTTCAAATCTCAAATGCCTTTCTATTCATCGTAAGCAACCAATGTGGCCTGCTTCCCTTTTCTACACTTTTTTACTTCTTATTGCTGCTTCAATGCTATAGATTAAAATAATAATAATAATAATAATAATAATTCATCACATCACAAATTAAAAAGTAATAAGCAAGGACTAGATTTTTGCCAAATAAATACATCAAATATATCCATTAACCTCTAATATGACAAACAATTTATAATATATCAATTCATTTCTAAGATTGTTTCCTTCAATTAATAATGCCCTCATATACATAGACTCATCCATAAGAAGAAAGGGGATAAATATTATCTCTGATTTTATTTTAATGCAAATGACTTTTCAAAGGGTCAAGTGATTACACACAAAAATCTAAAGAGGACATTGCGTCTATAAATCAAATCAAATAAATAATAATAATTTATATTAAAAAAATGTAGAGTTTTTTCACGAATTCTTTTTTAAAAAATAATTTTAAATATACGTTGGCCCCACCCAAATTTTTTAATTTAACCGTTAAAAAAATTTACCATTATTTGTTAATATTTTAATCAAATGAACGAAATAATTAATAATCATAATTAATATTTTAACGAATACAGGTAGCACAGTTTGCATGGTATTGCCAGCTCAAAAACGAGAGGAAGGAATAATTTTATAGCTGTGACGAACGGATAAACAATTTGTGAGAAGTGAGAATTGAATCTAGATCACAGCTGACCTTGAATTAGTAATTAGCTGTAGAATCACCAATCCAACGCATGCTTTGAATGTTTTTTTGACCCTTTAAATCATGTCTTTGGTCCTCTCACTTAAAAATTAAAATCGATTCAACAAGATTTATTAACAACGTAGACTTCAATTTGGGTTCGTTTTCAACCATGACTTCGTGCCCCTCCTAGTCCACGATCCATGTGTGCTGCGTATACAAAGTGGAAACAATCAACCGAACCTTCCAGGCCTCACAACATTCAAATACCTTTTAGTTGGAAAATATGGTTTTTATTTATTCTTGTTATGTATCATTCAGATAAATTTCGAGATGTTTTTATTATTCAAAGGCTTCCGTCGAGATTTTTGGCCCAACATATTAAAAGTTTGAGTTAAGAGAGGATACCAAAAGATTAGGAATTGGCGGACTTTCTAATGCAAATTACTTCCAAAAAAAGGTATCAGAATAAGTTTATTATAAAATTACAAACCCTAACTTAAGAAAATAGATTACACTCTTGAATACGAATTTTTTAAGTAAATAAACTTTTTTTAAAAAAAATTTACCAAATAACATATGTGTAACATTATTTACCCAACTAGAATCAATCACTGTTCATGCTCAGAATTCAGTTCCCGGGAAATCGAATTCTGAGCTTCAATATTTTATTTTTTTTTTGCGTTTGTGGTCAAGTGTGTGCAAGTTTTGGAAGTGGAACGGGCCGTTCCGAAAGCAGAACGGCCCGTTCTGCTTAAACACTTAGAGTACTTTTTTTAAAATTGGAACGGCCCGTTCTAATTTTAAAAAAAGCACTCTAAGTGTTTAAGCAGAACGGGCCGTTCTGCTTTCGGAACGGCCCGTTCCACTTCCAAAACTTGCACACACTTGACCACAAACGCAAAAAAAAAATAAAATATTGAAGCTCAGAATTCGGTTCCCGGGAAACCGAATTTTGAGCATGAACAATGATTGATTCTAGTTGGGTAAATAATGTTGCACAAATATTACTTTTATAATTTTTTTTAAAAAAAATATTATTTATGTAAAAAATTCTCTTGAATACTCTGATTTTGATGGCTTATCTAGAATAAACTTTAAATATTTATATATTTATTTATACAAATAAATATTTTAAAATGATAAATTATACAAAATAGAATATATTTTTTTAAAGACAAGCATATATTATATAGTTAATTAAAATAAAAATAAAAACATTTTTAAAGTTTGAGTTAATCTTTTAAAAGTTTGACCTTATGCGAGAAATAACTTAAAGTATATTTTTATTATAAAGTCTTTAATGAAGATTTATTTATTTCAATGAGCTTTTAAAAAATATCTTATATGTAGTTACTTTAGCCCTTGTCCATTAAGTTGAAAATAACTCAATAGTTTAAAGCTTTTGACCTTTTTGATTAAACAAAATTTCAAGTCTTAATCTAATTTAGTGGCCAAGTTAGGTCGCCGGCCAATGAACCACGACCTATTCCTGTATCTGTAAATTTCCTTTTCCAATTGATGTTGACATTGTGCCTCGTTTTAGTTTATTAATAGAGCATATAAATTAGAAGAAATTCCCCTAATATCAACCATTGGTCGCGTGGCCTAATGGATAAGGCGCTCGCCTCCGGAGCGGGAGATTGTGGGTTCGAGTCCCACCGTGATCGACTGATGTTATATTTTAATAGCAATAATTTGAAACCAGTTTTCAATTTTTCATTCTATAAGTCAACAGAAAGTAAAAAAGTAGGAAAATATTCAACCAATTTTCAATAAAAATTTTGCTTTTCCACTAAACTTCACCAAATTACAGGTATGTTGTGCAGAAACTTCACCAATTAATTTTTTTTGTGTTTACATATATGATTAAAATTATTTTTTGAATATTTATAAATTTAATTATTTTAAGTTGTAAATTCTTTATTTTAGGACATGAAGTTAAATATTTTATTATAAAAAAGATTAATTTTGATTTGAAATAATATTTTTTAAAAATTCAAAATTTAATTTCTACCACCAAAAGAATTTGACAATTAATTTAGTAAAGATATTTTATATTTATTTTGACTACAAGCTAAGTATCAATTTAACTTTTCTTCCTTCCTTATTTATTTTAATAGGCTGAGTGATTCCAATACGGAAAGGGAAAAAATAAAATTGAAATAAAAAAAGTAATAAAGAGAAAACAAAAATAGAAAAATAAGAGCAACATGATCCTTTCTTATCTTTTAAGTTAACATATATTTAGAAAACAAAATAAAGATGAAAACATTTTTTTATATTCTAACTTTTGTCATGTAGCTACCAAAGAAGGAGAAAACCCTTGTTCTTCATCTTCTCCATTTCTTCTTCTTTTCTATAGCTTTTTTTTTCTTGTTTTACCAAAATTCAAGACAAATCACTTGGTATTTAAGTTTCCTACTTCATTTTTGTTTGATTTTTTTCTTCTCTTTCTCTTTTAACTTACCTCAAGCTTGTTCTCCTTAGAAAAATTTGTGCAAAATTTTGTTTTCCTTAGAAAAATTTGTTAAAAATTTTTTTGAGGTAAGGAGAGTTGATCCCAATCTCTAAACTCTTACTTATTGTATTGTCATTTTAACTTGTACATCTATACAATACTTTTGTCACCGTTTTATTTCATTTTGTCATGTTTACAAAATTTGATATCAAAAATTAATTTAATAAATCATTTTATTTAAATAAATCAAATATAAAAATATAAATATTTTAATAATAATTTTGGACTTCACAGTAAACTTTTAACAAAAAGCCAAATATTTTTTTTTTTCACTAAACTTCACCGATTTAGAGGTATGTTGTGCAGGATGTTTTAACAAAAGCCAAACATTTATGCTATACTTGGAGGAAGGTGAGGATTTGAAAAGAAAGAAAATGAATAGATAAAAAATAAATTTAATAAAAAATATAATAAAATTTGTAATTGATTAATAGAGTGAAATTATATGAGAAATAAAGAGGAGTTGGTATTTTTAAAATTATATTTTATGTAGTTAAATTTTTATGTGAAATAAATAATATATACAATTACCCATCTTACCATATTCAAATATAATGATTTTCACTCGTGATGCATTATCATAATGTATTACTTACCGGAAAGAGCTTTGCTTCTTCAATCACGGATGATATAATATAAAAGAAACATAAATTATTTTTGTAAATACTACTCAATTATACGACAATCCTTTTATCTTACAGGATAAACTTTTAACTCATGAGACCCACCATCTTCTCCACTCAACTACTTAAATATTCGTTAATTCCTCCCACGTATAAATGTTCTTTTGAATACACATCCTAATTTATCTCTGTGTACAGTATAAAAGAAAAAAACTTATAAGTATTTTTTTTTTATTAAGAAAGTTATAGAATGGGAAATGCAAAATTTGTTGATTGCAATAATTTTATAATGTTTACATTTTTTTATAAGTATTTTATTCATTTTAATTTCAATTTAACATACTTGCAGGTGAAATTTTAAATAATAAATAATCAAGCAAATTAAAATTAATTATAATATTCAAAATACACTTAAGAAATATAAAATACTATATCATCAAAATATAATTCAATTTTAGTTTCTCACGTCCAACATGCTCTCAAATATATTTCAGTGAGTCTCCAAGAAGATAGTGTGTTATCAAGGATGATGATTGCTCTCAATAATATAAAATATTAATACCATTCTTTTTATTTATAATATAAAATATTAATATCATCTTTTTATTTATAAAATTCAACTTAAAATAATTATTTATTTATTTATATAAGACTTATATGATGTATTAATTATTTTTAAACTAAAATATCTATATTTAAATCATATTTTCCTAATTTTATGAAATATATTAAAATTATAAACTTTTAAAAAGACATGCATTCAAATCAATTGAGAAAATAAAGAATATTAATTACAAGAGAAAAATAATATAAAATATGTATTTTAATTTGTTAAAAAATGGGTATTAATTAAGAGAGACAAATAATAAACATAGTTTTAAAAAAAATATAAAAATAAGATAAACTTATTATTATTAATTATGTTAATTATTTTCTTAATCTCAATGAAATAAGAAAAGGAGGTAAGAAATTATTAAAACATCTAAATATTTCAAGCATTTAGCGTCTTTATCTAGACGATTGTGTCACAAATCCATACTCTCAGAGTCTCGGCGTGCATTTATATATAT